TTAGGACCCTTTCAAAGATTTTTATGATATGGGATGTTAGTGCTATCGGTCTGTAGTTCTTTGCTGTTGCTTTACTGCCCCCTTTGTGGAGTTGGGCTATGTCTGTTGTTTTTAGTAACTGTGGGACGACCCCCGTGTCCATGCTCCCTCTCCATAGGATGGTAAAGGCTCGTGATAGGGGCTTCTTGCAGTTCTTGATGAACAAGGAGTTCCATGAGTCTGGCTCTGGGGCAGAGTGCATGGGCATGTCATTTATCGCCTGTTCGAAGTCATTTGGCGTCAGGATAACATCGGATAGGCTTGTGTTAACCAAATTCTGTGGCTCTCTCATAAAAAATTCATTTTGATCTTCGACTCTCAGTCTGGTTAGGGGCTTGCTAAAAACTGAGTCATACTGGGACTTGAGTAGCTCACTCATTTCCTTGCTGTCATCTGTGTAGGACCCATCTTGTTTAAGTAGGGGCCCAATACTGGACTTTGTTCTCGACTTTGATTTGGCATAGGAGAAGAAATACTTTGGGTTTCTTTCGATTTCATTTATGGCTTTTAGTTCTTCCCGCGATTCCTGACTCCTATAAGATTCCTTTAGCTTAAGTTCGATGCTTGCTATTTCTCTGACCAGTGTCTCCCTACGCATTTCAGATATATTGACCTCTTTTAGCCGCTCTGTTATTCTTTTCCGTCGCCTGTAAAGGGAGCGCCTGTCTTTCTATTTTACATCTACTCCTCCTTTTTCTTAGAGGAATAAGCCTTGTGCATACATCGAGTGCCACCAAGTTAATCTGTTCTAGGCATAAGTTGGGGTCTGTGTTGCTTAGTGTATCTTCCCAGCTTATATCGGTTAGGACTTGGTTTTACTTGGTCCCACTTTATGTTTTGTATTGAAGTTGAATTTGGTGAATGCTCCCTCGTGACTAGTCTCATTATGTCGGTCTGGGGCTCCGCGCATACATGTCTGAACCTCAATTATGTTGTGATCTGAGTATATTGTTTTTGATATGGTGACATTTCTTATCAGATCATCATTGTTTGTGAAGATGAGGTCTAGTGTATTCTCCAGTCTAGTAGGCTCTATCATTTGCTGGTTTAAATTGAATTTTGTGCAGAGATTTAAAAGCTCGTGTGAGTGAGTTTTCACCAGAGCTGCCTCCTGATGTTATTACTGCAACAATATTATTTGCTATATTCCTCCATTTTAGGTGCCTTAAGTTGAAATCCCCCAGGAGCAAGATGTTGGGTGCAGAGCTGGAAGATTTTCCAGACAGTGGTCAATTTTTAACAGCTGTTCCTGGAATTGCTGGGATGTTGCATCCGGAGGCTTGTAGACTACCACAATGACTAGGTTTTGGTTCTCGACCTTTACTGCTAAAACTTCCACTACATCATTTGAGGCATTAAGCAGTTATGTGCAAACAAGTGACTCTGCAATGTACAGTGGTTAAGTGTAACATGCCAAAAGCCCCTTGTATGCAGAGCATTATGGCCAGGCTTAAAATTAACTAAGATTAACTAAGCAATGATATATTCAGTGGTAAAAATTATAGTAAACAAATAACAATTAAGCACAAATGAGTATTTCAAAGACAGGTCATATGGTCATTTACTGAGTTGCTGTGCATTCAGTAGAATGGAGTATTCTGTTAGGCAATGTAATTAAGAAAAAAAAAGTTTGATAGGGTCACAGGTTAAACATTTATGAGATACAGTTATTCAGTATTTATTTAGTTGTGGGTGATTAAGTGATTTTTAAGAAGAGACTTGAATTTATAAACAGATAGTGTTTCTTTTATATTCACAGGTAATGAATTCCAGTTTTTTGGGCCTTTTATGTGCATTGAGTTTTTGCATAGTGTGAGATGGACACGAGGAACATCAAAGAGTGATCTGTGCCTTGTGTTATGGTCATGTGTTCTGTTGAGGTTGGTAAGGAGACGTTTGAGGGGAGGGTTTATATCCGAGTTAAGTGTTCTATGTATGTAGTAGGTACAATAATAAGTGTGGATGTTTTGTACGGTGAGTAGGTTTAGAGTTTTGAATATTGGTGGAGTGTGCTGCCTGTAGTGGGAATTTGTTATTCTGACTGCAGCCTTTTGTTTGGTAATTAGTGGTCTGAGATGGTTTATTGTTGTTTAGCCCCATGCACAAATTCGATGGAGTTCCACATCAAAGGCTATTGAGGACACTTAAAGCACACAAAATAAGAGAATTTTTTTTCCTGGGTAGAGGCTTGATTGACAAATAGGCAGCAGAGAGTTTGAGTAAATGTGGAGAAATCAGAGTGAGGGCACGTCACAAGCGGTGTTCCACAGGGGTCAGTGTTGTGCCCCTTGTTGTTCACAATGTATATAGACGACATAGATGAGGGAATAAATAGCGAATAAATGAGGACATTAGAGCACTCCAGGAAGACTTGTATAGACTGATGCAGTGGTTGAAGTGGCAGATGCAGTTTAATATAGACAAATGCAAAGTTCTAAATGATGGACAGGAAAATAACCATGCCACATATGAACTAAATAATATAGATCTTAATATTATTGATTGCGAAAAGGATTTAGGAGTTCTGGTTAGCATAAATCTAAAACCAAGACAACAGTGCATAAGTGTCTGCAATAAAGTGAACAGAATCCTTGGCTTCATATCAAGAAGCATAAATAATAGAAGTCCTCAGGTTGTTTTTTAACTTTATATATCTTTGATTAGGCCTCATTTAGATTATGCTGCACAGTTCTGGTCATCGTATTACACAATGGATATAAATGCACTAGACAATGTACAAAGGAGGATGACAAAGTTGATCCCATGTATCAGAAATATTTCCTATGAGGATAGATTGAGGGCCCTGAATCTGCACTCTCTATTAGGGGGGATATGGCTGAGGTGTATAAGTGGAAAACAGGAATAAATAAAGGGGATGTAAATAACGTGCTAAAAATATCTAGCCTAGACAGGACTCGCAGCAATGGTTTTAAGTTGGAAAAATTCAGATTCAGGAAGGATATAGGAAAGCACTGGTTTGGTAACAGAGTTATGGATGAGTGCAACAATCTCTCGAGTACCGTCATAGAAGCTATAACGTTGTGTAGTTTTAAAAATAGGTTAGATAAATACATGAGTGGGTGTGAGTTGGACCTGACTAGCTTGTGCTGATGGGTCTGATGCCGTGCTCTATCCTGACTACGCTTGGGCCGGTGGGTGACTTGATAAGATAGGATTTCGTTCGGGTTTTTAACCCCGGAGGGTTAGCCACCCAGGATAACCCAAGAAAGTCAGTGCGTCATCGAGGATTGTCTAACTTATTTCCATTGGAGTCCTCAATCTTGTCCTCCAGGATGCGACCCACACCAGTCGACTAACACCCAGGTACCTATTTGCTGCTAGGTGAACAGGACAATAGGTGTAAGGAAATATGTCGAAATGTTTCCACCCGCCAGAAATCGAACCCGGGCCCTCCGTGTGTGAAGCGGGAGCTTTAGCCACCAGGCCACCTGCCTCACATGGGCTAATTCAATTCAATTCAGTTCAATTCAAAGTTTATTCTCTATAAGGATTACAATGCTGAGTTTGCAGAATTTGGTTATGGTGTGGTTTACATGTAGTAAAATAATAATTACAGAGTGTACCACTAGAACACCTAGCATGGCTAGGCATTTCGGGCAGACTTAGATTAAATCTTAAATTTAAAATATTACAAATTATGAGGTAAGTTGGTATTATGGCTAAGTGACTAAATACTAGTTTGTGAGTTTAGCAATGTGAATGCTTTTATTTTGGCACAATACATAGTTTCAGTATTGGAGTATCACAGGCCAACTTATGACTAGTTAGGATTCATTATTTTAAGATTGAGATTGATATTTCTGTTTATGGTCAAATAGGTGAGTGAGTGTAAGTGTGAACCACCAGGTGGTATTCGTGTAATTAGTTGACAGGGTGTATCATAGAGATAAGATGTTTTCTAATGGTAGTTTTGAAGGTGATGAATGTGTCTGCAGTTCTAGAGTTTTCAGGTAGAGTGTTCCAGATTTTAGGGCCTTTGACATACATTGAATTTTTGTAAAGGTTTAGTCGTTAGTTTAATATGTTTATTATGCACCCCATACCCATCCTGTGGGCGGTAGTCAAAAGATTACAGAGGTACATAATTGGTCCAGGGACTGGACTCCAAAGTTTTGATAGCTGAGCAAGTTACAAAGGTAATGAACTAGATCTGGTCATAATCATAACCAAGTTACAAAGGTAATGAGCTCCAGGTAGAGCTGGTCACACTCATGAATAATTGCAAAGGTAATGAATCATAAACACATTAATCATGAGAATTTACAAAGGTAATGAGCTCCAGGTAGAGCTGGTCAAAATCATGACAAGTTTCAAGTCGGACACGGGGAATGTAATAGAAATGTTTGTGTCTGGTATTATGCCTGTGGTTTCTGTCACAACTATCAAGAAAGCATTTTAGGTCAAGGTTGATATTGGAGTTTAAGGTCCTGTAGATGTAGATTGCACAGTAGTAAGTGTGGATGTACTGAACAGGGAGTAAGTTTAGATCTATGAAGAGTGAGAGGGGGGGGGTGTTGCCAGGGATGGGATTTAGTGATTATTCATACTGCGGCTTTTTGTTGGGTTATTATTGGCTTTAGGTGTGTTGCTGCAGTTTATCCCCAAGCACAAATAGCATAGGTGAGGTATGGATAAATGAGTGGTATAGTGTGAGAAGGGCCTTTTGCGGTACGTAGTATCGTATCTTGGAGAGGATCCCCACCGTTTTGGATACTTTTTTTTGTTATGTGTTGGATATAGGTGCTGAAATTCAGGTTGTTGTCGAGGTATAGGCCAAGGAATTTGCCCTCATTATGTCTGGCAGTTAGAATGTTGTCGATCTTAATGTTAATTTGCGCAACTCTTGCTCTGCTACCAAACATAATATAGTAGGTTTTGTCAGTGTAAGTTTATTGGCTGTCATCCAAGTCGATATTTTGATCAGCTCCTCGTTAACAATGGTGTTGAGGGTGGCAAGATTAGGGTGGGAGATGACATAAGTCGTGTCGTCAGCAAAGAGAATGGGGTTCCCAATGTTATATTCCCATAATAGGTCTGCTTCAGTGTTCCTTGTTTCATATATTCTTATGTAAGCTGTCAGTGGCCTTGATAAACCCAACAAAGACAGAAAGAACAACAACGAGAACTTCCTCTGTAGATAAATCTTCGTAAGAACGGCGTATGCTGTCAGTGGCCCTGAAACCCAACAGAAGAAGAAGAAGAACAATCTTTGTAAGACTCAAGGTACATTAGATATACTGTATTTTGTTTTTACAAGTCTTGAGGGCATATAAAAAGAACATAATGTAAATTTGGCTTAGGATAACCGGGTAAATTATTAATAATGTGACATATGTATTTACTGTTTTGTAATTGTATCATTGCTGTATAATAATAGCTTGTAATTGTATTTTGTACTCTACTGAGCTTTGTTATTTAAAATAATCATTGATTCTAGTTTTTAAGTTATTGTATTGTCTCTATGTAAAAAAAATTGTGCTTGTGAATTAATTAATAATATAATATAATATAATAATAATATCTTTATTTCTACAAGTACATGTACAAGGTATACAGGTCTAGCTGACATCAGTGACATAGTACTGTAAGTAAGTTTATTCAGGTATACACAAATAGTTACATAGATTATCACACCTAGCAGCAGATGTGTAGAGAACATGGGATAACCCAAAAAAAGGTCACACAAAGTGACGTATTTCAATTATAGAAAGTCGCTTGTTATGCAGAGCATTTCGGGCAAATTAGGTCAATTTTGTCCCAGGATGCGACCCACACCAGTCCACTAACACTTAGGTACCCATTTTACTGACGGGGAACATAGACAACCGGTGTAAAGAAACATGCCCAATGTTTCTACCCTCAAATTCAAATTAAATCAAATTTATTTATTTATTTTCAAGTAGTACATTGAGGTTATGTATTTACAATAATGGGTTGCAGTGTAAAGAGCCTCTATTATGCTTAGGCATTAAGGGTCGGCTTAATTTAATGGCTTACCGACTACTTAACACTAAATAAATTTATCACAGTTGTACAATATTTCTGTTAATTATAAATAAATCTAATTTATATAAACCAAAGGATATATGTATTCATATTTTCAAAAATGCTTTTTATGAAACATGATTCAATTATATTCCTGTCGACAATGAACAATAGGTTCAAAAGTAATTATTGAAATTATTTTTGAACCTAATATGGGAATATAACATTGGGAACCTATTATGGGAATATAACATTGTGATTTACTGAAAGTAGTTTACAGTATGAGAATGCTACAATTTGGTGTAGGGCAATACTGTTTTGGGTAGGTATTTATACTACTATGTAGTATTAGTTAATGTATGAAATTGGTCGTCTAGTCTTGGAATCGAACCCAGACCCTCGCCGTGTGGAGCAAGAGCTTTAGCCACCAGGCCACAGGGCTTGGTGGCTAATTAATTAATTACTTCCCATTACTATATCATGTATGTATCTGTTTGCATGCATGCATATCCCAGAGATGGAACACAGCAACAAGGGGTCACAATTGGAAGTTGAAGACTCAAATGAATCACAGGGATGTTAGGAAGTATTTCTTCAGTCACAGAGTTGTCAGGAAGTGGAATAGCCTGGGAAGTGATGTAGTGGAGGCAGGGTCCATACATAGTTTTAAGAAGAGGTATGATAAAGCTCATAGAGCAGGAAGAGTGACTTAGTAGTGACCAGTGAAGAGGCTGGGTCAGGAGCTGTGACTTGACCCCAGCAACCCCAGCTAAGTGAGTACATAACATTACTGTATTAGATAACATTAACAATGTTTATTTTTTTGCATTAATATTGGCTGCATTTATTTTAATTTTGTTTTATAATCTTGTACATACAGTACTGTACGTATATAACTTTATTGTAATAAATGCTGAAGGCCATCATGAGTTAATATACTTTGTAAATTTTACAACTTTCTTACTTCCATATTTTTTTTTTTTTTTCAGAATGTGGGGTCTTGTATTTGGTATGATAGCATTTGTGGTCTTTGCTCTGTCTTTCATGGCAGTATTGTTTGGCTACATATACAGGCTACGTGTATGCTATGCAGGCTCGGTGGTTAACATGAAAGGCAAGACTGTGATAATCACCGGCGCATCTGCTGGTACGTTGGCTACGGTTTTGTAATAATCAACTGGAGGGCAAATAAGTAAATCTTTATATAATTTTATATTAATATATGCTCTTAATAATATATGCTGTTAACATACAGAATCCTCTGAGATCTCGCACATTAATTGATGTATGACTGTTGGTGTGTTTTTGTTGCAAAAGTAGTACCTTAATGATTAGGGATTTATAAACTGTATTATGTGTTCAGCTGAACATTGCTTTGGCAGTTTTCAATTTGAATGCATTCCATTCTAATATTGTATGACTTAAGTATTCATATAATATAGATCAGAATCTAACTGTACATGTATATTGCTTTCAAAAATTTCCAGGAAGTGTACTGGTTAATACTGTATAGCTGTTAGATATATACTGTACATGTATTGAAATCACATCAAATATATCAAGGTAGGTTTACCTGGAGAGAGTTCCAGGGGTCAATGCCCCCGCGGCCCGGTCTGTGACATATCAACTGTGTAACTTTACTAGCAAATCTCAGAACAGTATTTGTGGACTTAAGGAATCTTCTCAAGTGAGGTCAGTGAGAAGGTCTTAATCCAAGGAACTGAATTTATCCTCCTTGGATTGGATCTGAATGCTTCCCATTCCCAGGTACTGTATGACTCCTGCATGTTTAGTGCTTTTCCCTGATTAAAAAAAAAATCCTGAATATTGGAAAAGGTATCTGTTAGGAAGCTCATTAAAGAGTACACAGTCTCATCTGCTCAGGCACTTAAAATTCAAAACAGTATCAGAGCTGAGGAATGCATTATGAGAGGGACTAAGGAAGACATGTTTACAATGTACAAAATATTCAGAGGACTTGGCTGGGAGGAAAGTGATGGAAAATGGAGGGGAAACTAAAGACTCAGATGAGCCATATGGATATTTAAAGAGATGATAAATGAAACTTTATCTAGATTACTGTAGTAATCATGGAGAATTAACCCAGGATAATCCAAGATAGTTAAGCAGTAGAAAAATGGAACCTATCAGTACCTGTCTGACAGGTACATGGCTACTACCACAGCCTCAAAAATAACTTCAGTAATAAAATCACTTGACAGTTCAGTCAGTAGCACAAAAGAATATCCCCCATAATCTACAGAAAGCTGTCCAAGTATTATCTCCATATATTTCAATATTTTTCACCAAACAAATCACTTGAAGAGCAAATCTTTCTATACTACCTCATAGGAGACCTGATAACACTCATCCAAATCCAGTAATAATTTTGACCCAACATCAAATCTGAAAGCCCAGTGAGGTACTACCGTCCTGCTAAGTGAGTGTAAAATGGAAGCCTGTAATTGTTTTATATGATGGTAGGATTGCTTGGGTCTTTTTTTCTGTCTCATAAACATGCAAGATTTCAGGTATGTCTTGCTACTTCTACTTGCAGTTAGGTCACACTACTCTTGCATGTACAAGCATATATGTACACACCTCTCTGGGTTTTCTTCTATTTTCTTACTAGTTCTTGTTCTTGTTCATTTCCTCTTATCTCCATGGGGAAGTGGAACAGAATTCTTCCTCCATAAGCCATGTGTGTTGTAAGAGTCGACTGAAATGCCGGGAGCAAGGGGCTAGTAACCCCTTCTCCTGTATACATTACTAAAGTTAAAAAGAGAAACTTTTGTTTTTCTTTTTGGGCCACCCTGCTTTGGTGGGATATGGCCGGTTTGTTGGAAGAAAGAAGAAGATCAAATCTAAAAATACTGTTTTGTCAAAAAATTTGAGATGGTAATCTACAACCAGCTATACACTTACCAACCGAAAAGCAGGAATAATGTAATCATAAAAATGCTTAACAGTTTATTCAGCACAGGAAAGATATTATAGTCTCTTGGACTTTTTATTGATCTACATAAGACATTTTATATGGTAAATCACAAACTTCATTTTTACGAACTAAATCACCATTGACTTAAAGGGCACAGTTACAGCCAGTACTTTCACTTATACTTAAGAAACGGACAACGTGTAGCCATTACTGGCTCTTCTTCAACTACTCTTCCAAGGAAATTCATTGTCCTTCAGGCCAATATCTTGGGTCTTCTCCTTTACACTAATGACTTACCAGTGCCAGCCTTTGCCAGTGACACAACCTGTATCTTATTATGTTCTGTTCCCTTGACTGTTGTTGAATATTCTTGTTATTTGTTTTTGACTATTATTTTTACTCTGTTAGTCCTCTTTGTTAGACTCATAGGTTTAGAGAACTCCATATCTTTGTATTTTTTTAGTATTAAGTATTTTTAGTCCCAGTTAACATAGCCCAAAATGCTCTGTATACTGTAGGCTTTTCAGATGTTTTATTTATGTATAATGTTTTTAAAATCAAATTTTTGTTTTTGTTTTCTGTATACAAGCTGGATGAGAAAATGTTGGAAATAAATTCTGATGAGCTTTAAGAATCCAGAAACAGTTAGACAGCTGATGTAGGTTAAGTGGCAGCTGAGGGCACAATGAAGCCTTATCATTTTGCTTAGTTAAGCTTTTCTAACATTTTAATTTTCAGATGACAAGTTTAGACTACTTCACCGGATTGGCTTTGAAAAACAGTATGTTACAACAAGATGATGTTCAAATGGAGGTTATTTTTCAGAATTTATTTGAAAGAAGTTGCAAGAAAACCACTATTATCAAGAGCCATCATAGTATAAAGAATAAAAAGGCACAATACCATGACTGGAACAATACACAGATAACCCGCACATAGGAGAAAGAAGCTTATTATGACGTTTCAGTCTGACTTGGACCATTTACTAGTGACACACATCATAAGTTCCTTCCTCCTGTGTGGGTTATTTGTACAGCAAAGTATAAGTTCTGATAGTCGTATTTATTTTTATATTCTTTAATGAATTGTGCGCATAATAGTGTACATGTATTGTTTTTTATTATTTCAGGTATTGGAAAGGAGGCGGCACAGGACTTGGCAGTTCGTGGTGCTCGTGTCATCCTTGCTTGTCGAAATCTTGAAAAAGCTGCAAAAGTTGCTGGTAATTATTGTCTTGATTAATCTTGAAAATTTTGTCTTGAAAGACGGAGAATGAAGAAAAGACAGAACAAGAGAGATTATGAGAGGAAACAAGAGCGAGAAATAGAGTGGAGCTCATACATTTTGAAATGCTGTACTAAATTGTATTTGTATGATGAATTCCTTTACCCTGTAAAATCCTTATAACTAGATAACAACAAGGGAAATAAGGAAAGAGAGAAAGAGAGAGAGAAGGGTGAGGGAGTGGAAATATGGATATGTAGGAGGACTGATTAAGGAGGTCTTAATAGTTTATTATACAAAGTAATAATTGTTGTCTCCCCATCAGATGAGATTCAGTTGTGTTCAGGAAACAAACAAGTATTAGTGAAGGAACTGGACACGTCCTCCCTGACGTCTGTTAGGGCATTTACTGACAAAATTCGTGCTGAGGAACCCAGGTATGTCAGGAAAGATAGTAGAAATGTTTCCTTTTTATTTTTTACTACTGTATCATGTTTGTCTAAAAGGATTTTAACATGCCAAGTAACACTACTAACAAAATAGGTTGTATAAGTTGTATTTCAAAAGAATAGAAAGTGGCATAATGTAGAAGTTGATACAGTGGAACCTCAGTTTTCGTCATTAATTTGTTCTAGAAAGTCTGACAAAAACGTAATTTGACGAACACTGAAGCAGTATTTCCCATAAGAAATAATGTAAATCCAATTAATGTATTCCAGAAGCCCAAAAGTATTAACAAAAAATACATTTTACAGAGAATAACTATAGTTTTACATACAGAAAACAATGAGAAATAAATATGAAGGACTAATGAAATGGATAAATGAACATTTAATATCACATTTACCTTTACTGAAGACTATTGTTGGTATATGGAAGATGCGAGAAGGGGGAAGGGAGGAGGAGAGATTATTGGTTGGAAGGGAATCCCCCTCCATAAGGACTTCTCTCTCCTCCTCCTCTGAAGCAATTTCCTCAGCTGCTATCTGTTGCTGTTCCAGCTGAAGGTTTTGCAGCTCTTCTGTGGTTGTCCACCAACTCTTCCACATCCTGGTCACTCACATCCAACCCCATACTTTGCTACAAGTTCTTGAATTCTATCATGTTTCTCACCTTCTTTATGAGAGGGCTGACACTCAAAACTTTCTTTGGCCCCATGGTGGCTTATTTAGCAGTTGCACTCGATGAACAAGCACATGAAACAATGGATTATTACGAAATGTTTCGGATGAACACTCAGGGTAATGCTCACTCGATGAGAAACAAAGCCAGACTGACTCAGAATGCGTGGGATGCTTTGTGTGGGTGCGGGCAGGTGGACATGTTTGGTATGGCGTACTGACAAAAACCGAGGTGATGAACGAAAACTGGGGCAAAATTTTGAAAAGAAAAGTCGTCACAAACTGAATTCGATGAAAATCAGTGTAAACAAAAACCGAGGTTCCAATGTATTTTGTAAACTTTTTCAGCTGACATTTTGTGTCTATGTTTAACAATGAACATATGCAAATATACAGCACATCACATCAAATTATATAAATTATGTATCGCCTCATTTAAATAATAGCTATCTAAAAGCTTCCTTAAAATGCTGCGTAATATCTTATTTACAAAAATACTAAACCTCTTTTATGTACTGCAATTTAATTTAGCACTGTATGCATGTACAGTACTGGATTTTTATTTTTTTTAATGAATATGTATGTATATATATATCTTCTCTTCTTTCAACAAATCAGCCGTTTCTCACCAAAGCAGGGTAGCCCGAAAAGAAAAATGAAAGTTTCTCTTTTTAAATTTAGTAATTTATACGGGAGAAGGGGTTACTAGCCCCTTGCTCCCGGCATTTTAGTTGCCTCTTACAACACGCATGGCTTGTACATGTGTGTGTAGTGTGACCTAAGTGTAAGTAGAAGTAGCAATACATACCTGAAATCTTGCATGTGTATGAGACAAAAAAAAAAGACACCAGCAATCCTTCCATCGTGTAAAACAATTACAGGCTTCAGTTTTACACTCAATTGGCAGGATGGTAGTACCTCCCTGGGCAGTTGCTGTCTTCCAACCTACTACCTATAATATAATATAATATAATAATATAGTATAATAATATATAGTATAATAATATAGTATAATAATATAGTAGTAGGTTGGTAGACAGCAACCACCCAGGGAGGTACTACCGTCCTGCCAAGTGATGTAAAACTAAGCCTGTAATTGTTTACATGTGGTAGATTTGCTGTGTTCTTTTGTCTGTCTCATAAATATGCAAGATACAGGTACGTCTTGCTACTTCTACTTACACTTGGGTCACACTACACATCATGGACACGTTTATTTATACACACTCATCTGAGTTTTCTTTGATTTTATTTTAATAGTTTTTGGTCTTATTACTTTTCCTTTTATACCATGGGGAAGTGGAATAAGAATCTTTCCTCCGTAAGCCATGCGGGGTTGTAAAATCAACTAAAATGCCGGGGAACAATGGGCTAGTAACCCCTTTCCTGAAAAGAATTACTAAAAAGAATAAGAAGAAGAAAATTGTCAAAGTGGGAAGTCTGAATGTGCGTGGATGTTGTGCAATGAAAAGAAAAGACGATTGTGGATGTATGAATGAAAGAACTGGATGTCCTGGCTTTAAGTGAAACAAAGCTGAAGGGGGTGGGAGAGTTTCAATGGAGAGGAATAAATGGGATTAGGTCAGGGGTTCAATAGAGTTAGAGCTAAAAAAAGGAGTAGCAATAATGTTTAAGGATAAGCTATGGCAGGAAAAGGGGACTACAAATGTATAAATTAAAGGGATTATGTGGAGTAAAATAAAGATTGGATGTGAAAAGGGGGTTATAGTAAGCGTGTATGCACCTGGAGAAGAGAGAATTTTAGAGGAGAGAGAGAGATTTGGGAAATGTGAGTGAATGCGTGGGAGTTTTGAATCAAGTGTGAGAGTAATGGTGGTTGGGGATTTCAATGCTAAAGTGGTAAAAATGTTATGGGGGGAGTTGTAGGTAATTTTGGGGTGCCAGGGTAAATGAAATGGGGAGCCTTTAATTGAGCTATGTGTAGAAAGAAATTTGGTAATAAGTAATACATATTTTATGAAAAAGAGATAAATAAAATATACAAGGTATGATGTAGCACGTAATGAAAGTAGTTTGTTAGATTATGTATTGGTGGATAAAAGGTTGATGGTAGGCTCCAGGATGTACATGTTTATAGAGGGGCAACTGATATATCGGATCATTATTTAGTTGTAGCTACAGTTAGAGTAAGAGGTAGATGGGAAAAGAGGAAGGTGGCAACAACAAGTAAAGAGGAGGTGAAAGTGTATAAACTAAGGGAGGAGGAAGTTCGGGCGAGATATAAACGACTATTGCAGAAAGGTGGGCTAGTGCAAAGATGTAGTGGGGGGGTGAAGAGGTTGAATAGTTTTAAAAAATGCAGTATTAGATGTGGGGCAGAAGTTTGTGGTTATAGAGGGTGGGGCAGGAGGAAGAGAGTGATTGGTGGAATGATGAAGTAAAGGGTGTGATAAAAGAGAAAAAGGTAGCTTACGAAGGTTTTTACAAAGCAGAAGTGTTATAAGAAGAGCAGAGTATATGGAGAGTAAAAGAAGGTGAAGAGAGTGGTGAAGAGTGCAAATGGAGAGCAGATGAAAGAGTGGGAGAGGCACTGTCAAGAAATTTTAATGAAAATAAGAAAAAATTTTGGAGTGAGTTAAACAAGTTAAGAAAGCCTAAGGGAAAGTATGGATTTGTCAGTTAAAAACAGAGTAGGGAGTTAGTAGAATGGGGAGAGGGAGGTATTAGGTAGATGGCGAGAATATTTTGAGGAACTTTTAAATGTTAAGAAGAAAGGGAGGCGGTAATTTCATGCACTGGCCAGGGAGGTATACCATTTTTAGGAGTGAAGAAGAGCAGACTGTAAGTGTGGTGGAGGTACGTGAGGCATTACGAAGAATGAAAGGGGGTAAAAGCAGCTGGAACTGATGGGATCATGACAGAAATGTTAAAAGCAGGGGGGATATAGTGTTGGAGTGGTTGGTACTTTCTTTAATAAATGTATGAAAGAGGGTAAGGTACCTAGGATTGGCAGAGAGCCATGTATAGTCCGTTTATATAAAGGGAAAGGGGACAAAAGAGATTGTAAAAATTATAGAGGAATAAGTTTACTGAGTATACCAGGAAAGTTTTACGGTAGGTTATAATTTAAAGGGAAATTAGAGGTAAGACAGAATGTAGAATTGCGGACGAACAAGGAGGTTTAGAGTGGTAGGGGATGTGTTAGATCAAGGGGTTTTTCATTGAAGCATATATGTGAACAGTATTTAGATAAAGGTAGAAGTTTTATTGCATTTATGGATTTAGAAAAGGGGATATGATAGAGTGGATAGAGGAGCAATGTGGCAGATGTTGCAAGTATATGGAATTGGTGGTAAGTTACTAAATGCTGAAAAGAGCTTTTATGAGGATAGTGAGGCTCAGGTTAGGGGTGTAGAAAGAGGGAGAATACTTCCCGGTAAAAGTAGGCCCTTAGACAGGGGATGTGTAATGTCACCATGGTTGTTAATATATTTATAGATGGGGTTGTAAAGAAGTAAATGCTAGGGTTTCGGAGAGAGGGGGGAGATTAAATTATGGGAATCAAATCAAAGGGGAAATTGACACAGTACTTTTTGCTGATGATACTGTGCTTATGGAGATTCTAAGAAAAATGCAAAGGTTAGTGGATGATTGAGAATGGTGTAAAGTAGAAAGTTGAAAGTGAACATAAGAAAGAGTAAGGTTATGAGGTACAAATGATTTAGATAAAGAAAAATTGGATATCAAATTGGGGAGGAGGAGTATGGAAGAAGTAAGTTTTCAGATATTTTGGGAGTTGGACGTGTCGGCGGAGGGATTTATGAAGGATGGGGTAATCATAGAATTGATGAGGGAAAAAAGGTGAGTGGTGCGTTGAGGTATATGTGGAGCAAAAAACGTTATATTATGGAGGCAAAGAAGGGAATGTATGAAAGTATAGTATACCAACCTCTATATGGATGTGAAGCTTGGTGGTAATGCAGCAGCGAGGAGACGGTTGGAGGCAGTGGAGATGTCCTGTCAAAGGGGCAATGTGTGGTGTAAATATTATGCAGAAAATTGGGATTTTGGGGAAAATTAGGAGAAGGTGTGGAGTTAAAAAAAGCATTGTCAGAGGCAGAAAGGGTTTGTTGAGGTGGTTTGGTCATTTAGAGAGAATGGATCAAAGTAGAATGACAGGGAAAAGCATATAAATCTATGAGGAAGGAAAGAGGGTAGGGGTCGTCCTCGAAAGGGTTGGAAAGAGGGGGTAAAAGGGGGTTTTTGTGGGTGAGGGCTTGGACTTCCAGAAACGTGCATGAGCGTGTTAGATAGGAGTGATGGAGACGAATGATACTTGGGAACCTGACGATCTG